ATTGTAACACTCAGATTACCTGTCTTCTGATTTGTTGAAAGAAGCTGTAAATCCAATTCATGTGCAGTTTCTCTAGGTTTTTCTAAATTATTTTACAAAGCAATAAAATAGATGGATGCCGTGGAGACCAAACAAAACACAGCCGTGCCTGCTTCTGTGTAGCCAAGGCTGGGCCTGGCAGATGTCAGGCTGCAGAGTGGGCCCCGTTTCTGCACACAGACTGCCAGCAAGGTACAAAGTGTGCCATCGAACTGCTATTTATAGCTCTGACAGTGTGGAAACAACCTAATTTCTAATAGCCAGGCTTGAGTAAACCATGACAAACCCACTGAGAGGAAAATTATGCAACTGTTTAAAAAAGTGTTTACAGAGTAACTTGAGAGCATCATGATTATGATACCGTGTCAAGTGGGGCGGGAAGGGTCTACAGCATTTTGTATACAACATGATTATAGCTTTGGCCAAGAACACCAAACAAGATGATGCATAAAAAATTAACTCTAGCAGTGCACGATTCGAACAACCATTGGCCTTGTCTCTGGTGGGCAGAATATTGTTCATTCTTCTTTTGCTTATGCTTTGCTGTACTTTGCAAATTATCTGTAGTTTTATAATCATGAAAACATAACATTTGCATTCAGGTTGATAAATAACTGGGAAATAACTTTTGTGAGCCTTGAACCTCAGCAGACCAAGTTCTGGTGAGTTCAGTTCTGCAAACTTTTTCAGGGCAGCTAGTTTGTACCATACTATGGACCAGGCATGGAGGGCAGAGCTGGAGTAGAGCCTGTCCCTGCCCAGGAAGAGCCTTGGTAGCATCAGGACAATGCACTGAGAGCCAGGACAGCACTGAACACCAGCCTGAGCTCAGAGGACACATGTTGGTCCAATCTTCAGAGGAAGGAGGGGCGAAAGGTTCTGGGTGAGTCATGGGTCATCACAAGAGCTCTCAGGCTAAATAAAAGTAGGAATGTGGCCCTAGGTGAGACACTTTGCAGGCTGTCTTACTCACTTTCATTATCACTGGGGTAAATACCTGATACCCACAGCCTGAAGGGGAGCAGGTTTATTTGGGTTTATGTTTCAAGAGTCTCAATCCTTGCATGGTTGGCAGCTCCAAGGCAAGTGAGCATGGCACAGCAACATGGAGGAAGAATAACTGATCATGATATGGTGGCCAGAAAACAGAGCAAGTCAAAGAAGGAGCCGGGAAGGGAGATACAACGTCCCAGGTCACTCCCATGGTGAATCACCTCTTCCAACAAGAGCCTCCTTCCTGTCAGCAAAGCAACTATAGCATCTCTTAACCCAGTCACCTTCCAAAGGTGCACCTATGAGAGCATGAGGTTGTTAGGGACATCCAAATATAAAACATAACCCAGGACAAAAACACAGAAGGAAGAAAAAACGTGGCCTTGTAGCAAATCCAACTTTCTCAGTTTGTTTTCTGTAGCTGTAACAAATTACCTGAGGCTGAATGCTTTATAAAGTAAAGATATTTCTTTAGTTCATGGTTTTACAGGATGGAAGTTTAGGATCAGGTGGCCTCTTTCAGTCTTGGTGAGGACCACCCTGGCTGTGTAGCATCATGATGGGAGCACATACAAGAGGGAGAGCAAGATCTTGTGGTGAGAACCCAGAGGAATTCCAGGGCCAGGCTCGCCCTTCCACTGCACTTGGACTTGGGGAGAAGAAATTTACATTTTTTTTCACAAGTCTGTGCCTTCATGACGTGATCACGTTGCCAAATTTTAGTGATTCTGTTACCTTCCAGCACACCAAGAGACCAAGCTTCCAGCTCACACACGTTCTGAGGACCATGAACATTCCATAACACTGAGGCCTGGCCCATGAGCTGCCTTACATCCTCAGATCCATCTGTCTTCACTGCTGTTAGGAGAGTCAGCCAGGACAGCTCTCTCAGCAGGATGTGATCAGTTGGCCACTCCAGGCTTAAGTCATCTTCAGGGCATACAGGATCAAGCACAGAGGTGTTGGGAGTGCTCAGTTCACAATGCATCCTTGATTTAGATGCACTTATTTCTTTGCTGGCAAGGACCTCAGGACAGATTTTGGGATGACAGGAGCTATGGGTGTTTTTGTGCTTCCTGCCCTATTCAGGCAGAAGCAATTGACTGTCCTAAAGAAGCAAGAGAAGTAGATGTTTTGGACCCAAATTCCAGGTAAGCACAGCCTCCAAGGACACCTGCAAGCTGCCAAGAAAGCATACAGGCAAGAATGTGGAACAACCCCTCTTGCTAATGGCACAAGGAATACAGGGGCCAATACTTCCTTTCCAGGCTGGCACAGGTTGAGGACCAGCTGTGGACACGGCCTCTTTCAGCAAAAGAGAAGATGCAGGGATTCACATAACCCAGGGAGAGAGAGTGGCGCTCCATATCGGAATGCAGGGACCTCAGAGTAAGGAGAACCGCTGTGCGAAGCCACAGCTGTGAGAAGGGGCACAGAAGCTGTTTTGTAAAGATACCTTATGGCCTGCAGAGTGCAGAGTGGGTTTGAGAAGCGACTGTGAGGTTGCAGAAGCATGGCGCATGGAGAAGGAAAAGAAATGGAGAGGGAAATGGCCTTAACCATAACCTGAACCCTAATCCTAAACTAACCCTAACACTACCCTAACCCCCAACCCTACACTTAGCCTTACTTTACTCCTAAATCTAACTCTAACACCTCAAACTAACTCTGAACCTAACCCTAACCCTAACCTACCACTTCCCTACTTCTGTCTCTAACCCTAAGCCTAACCCTAACCTTAGTTCTATCCCTACTCTTATCCCTATGAATACTCTTACCCTACCCTGAGACCAAACCATAACTTTAATCATCACCATAACCCTAACCTACCGCGATCTTTATCCTTACCCTTAGTGTTCCTCTAACCCTAGTCCTAACCCTAACCCAACCCTAACCCTAACCCTAACTTGAACCCTATTCCTACCCCTGCACTACCCTTATCCTCCCCATAGCCCGAACCCCAACCCCAATCCTAACTCGAACCCTAGACCTACCCCAATCCTTACCCTCTACACCTACCCCTACTCTTACCCTACCTCTAACACTAAACTTAACCTTGACCCTAACGCCCAGCTCAGAAAGGTTGAAGGTCTTCCAAATGGTCAGGCAAGGTACAGATGTTGATGACTGTCCTGTTGCCCTGGAGATTTGTCCCTGAGACCTTGCACACACACCCTGCCTCCCTCCCCCAGCCTTCGGGATCAGCTGCATAGACTCGTGCACACTCAGCGTGCATGGTCTCATGTTTTGTTAGTGGCAGCAGGAGGGGCCCAGTTCCTCACACACACAAGTGGGGTGGGGGTGGATTGGCTGAAATAAGCCATAAACTGAACTCCATGGAATTCAGTGGAATCAGCCAATTGGGGTCAGAGGCATCCATGGAACCTAAGCACCCCACTCCACCCCAAAATCATGGAAAGAGCTTTGGTTTCCCCAGGAGGAGAAACAGGTACTCTAACTGATCTCACCTGGACCACAGGTGTCAGGGCCACCTTTCCTGCCTTCAGGTCTGGCAGTGATCTATTCCCATCACTTACCCCTCGAATCTACCTATGCTCCCCTGGGCCAGGTGAGAGCCTCACTGTGAGCACCCACCCGTGTTACACCTGTGTGACCCCACTGCATCATCCACCGCCCCACCATTACCACTTACTCACTTCTCCACTTCTGCTCTAGACACTGGCTGGGATCCTCAAGGTCAAGGGCTGAGTTTATCCATCTCAGATCCCCAGCACCTAGCTCGAGCCTCCTTAGAAATTGGTGTTGCCCAGAAGAGAACTGGATTATTTGATTGCTGTTTGGTATTGACAGATTTGATTCAAAACTGATATGATTGATAGTATCAAGTCTGAGAGTATAGGCAACTACACTGAAGATGACAAGACTCTACGATACACATTCTGGTTTGATTACTGCCTGTTTTTGAAGTTTTATACTATTTACAAAGTTGTGTTTTATTAATACTGTTACGTATTGATATATTCAATTATACTATGTCGGATGATATAGCCAATTCTATTGAAGATAACAAGAGACAGCACAGGAACCATGGTAGAACTCTTTGTACAACAGTCTTATATGTCTTTTTGTTTCATGTGCTTATAGGAATATATTTTGTTTTGTCTTGCTTTTTTTTGTTTCTCCCTCTAATATAGAAAGGATAGAAATACATGTTAAGACTCATGCAAGTGTAGAATCTATAAACAGTTTATGAGAACTGATCTTATGACACATGTTGAAATGAACAGATACTTTGGAGAAAAAGAGACACTAAAGTACCCAGTGCTCATTCTGGAGTGTCATAATGTGAAACCCAGCAATAGTGTTATTCTTTGTTCAGAGTGATATTAGCCTGCTTGGGTTTGTTCAATCTCAACATAATTGAAGATATGGATAACTGCATATATGTTTAAGTGTATAGGATTGATAACCATATTTCTAAGTTTTTGTTGGACAGATGAACAGAACTGGTTGCAATCTCACTGTTTGAACCCTAACTTTATATGCTCCACTTTAGTATCTTGAATAACTATTTGTAGAAGACAATCTGTAATCATCAACTAGTGATTTCTTACTGTTTTTTTTTCTTTGAAAGTATGTATTATTTCTACCCATTTTCTGTTTTGTTTAGTCTTTCTTTAAATAAAATTGAAAAAAAAAAAGAGACACTACAGTACCCAGTGCTGATCCCGGAGTGTCATGATGTGAAATCCAGCAATACTATTATTCTTTGTTCAGAATAATTTTAGCCTGCTTTGGTTTGTTCAATCTCAACATAATTGAAGATGTGGATAGCTGCATATATGTTTAAGTGTATAGGATTGGTAACCATATTTCTAGGTTTTTGTTGGACAGTTGAACAGAACTGTTTGCAGTCTTGCTGTTTGAATTCCCACTTTATATGTTCCACTTTTGTATCTTGAATAACTATTTGTAAGAGGACAGTATGTAAATATCAACTAGTGATTTCTTACTGTTTATTTTTTCTTTGAACATATGTATTATTTCTAGCCATTTTCTGTTTTGTTTAGTCTTTTTTTAAATAAAATTTTAAAAAAAGAAAGAAACAGAAGAAAACTGGATGGTCATTTCTGGAGTCTAACACTGTGCTAGACACTGACAGTCTCCTGGCAGGCAGTGAGGACCCTGCCTTTCTGGAGGTATGAAAGAAGAGGCCAAGCCACAGCTTGCCCAGGACCCAGGAAAGGCATCCCCACTCCCACTCCCATGCCCAAGAGTGGTGGCCTAGATGGCTTCAGTGCCTCTTCTGACTCCTGATTCCCTGGCTCCAGAGAGCAAGGGCCTGCAAAGTCCTGGATCCAGCACAGTTAGCTGACACCAGTCTTCCAGTTTCCAGTGAGCAGTCTGCAACCAGTGAACAAGAGTTGAGTCACCATGTGGAATGCTTGGGCAGAAGTCCCCTCCCCATTAATAACCACTATAAACACATTCAGGTCAGCTTTGTTTGTTTGCTCTTTGGAGTTTATGTTGCTGCACGAAATCTAATGTAAGAATGAGCCCACAGACATCTGACCACCCGTCTTTAGTCATCGCCTGGTTGTAAATCATCCTCACCCAGCCCACACTTGTCGCACAAGAAGAGGAGGTGGAGGCGTAGCAGCCCTGGCCTCTGGCAGCGCACCCTAGGGAGGCTTTACAATCTTCACCATTCATGGATGGACCTTGCTTCCCAGTGGAAGCTGAGAGGTCTTCAGGCTGGGCCGCGGGGCCCACTCTGTTCAAGGACCTTCCTGCGTTGGCTTTTCTAACCTTTGTCTGCCTTAGATCCCCAGCAACCTGGGTCACTCCTGTTCTATAAAACCAAGTACGTAAGTTATTTCTTGGGAAGCTGGAGCATGCCCTGGATGCTTTCTAGAAGGGACTTGTTTCTGGTCTTCTCAGTGTATTGAAGTCCGGCATCACTCGTCAGAAGGCAGAGGCTGAGAAGGACAGGGGTTTTCCCAGAGCCTCAGTTACCTACACGCCCTCCCGGCTCTAGGTAGTGGGCTCTTCTGCCATGCGGATCCTCCCAAACCTGGTCCCCTCCCAGGGTTCCCACTCAGCTAGTGCATAAGGCTCTACCTGCTTCTTCATTTCCAAGATATTTCTATCTTGTAGAGTTGGCTAGAATCCTTCAACAATAGTAGCTTAACCAACAAGACGTCCCCCATGTCGCATGGTAACATGGTGTCCCTAAGTAGGCAGCCCAGGGCTATGTACCTGCCTGAGGAAGCCATCAAAAACCTGGCCTCCTTGTGGCCTCAGCCCCACAGTCCTTGTCTTAAAGATCTCCTCACTGTCACAAGAGAGCAGTTCTACCTCCAGGAATTCCAAGGAAGAAGCCAGAGAAGGAGATACATGTTCATGTGACCTGAGTGTTTGCCTTCTTGTATGGAGAGCAGTAAGTTTTCCTGGTGGCCTTGTTTGACAGTGCACTGGCATGACTGTAGCGTTTGGCCACTTTTACTGCAGGGCTCCTGGGAAGGTGAGCCATGCGTAGTCACATCGCTGCCTGCTCCTCTTGGCAAGGACCACAGACACTGGACAAGCAATGCCTGCTGTGCACGCTCCTTACCCTGAACCCGCCAGAGCCTCTCCTGTAGTCTAACCACTCAGACCCATTTCCCTATCTCCCCATAGTTTCTGCCCCTGTGCAGGCCCACAGCAGCCTTCTATAACCAGGCTTGTCCACCTCCACTTGCATGGGTGATCTTCCCTAAAGAATGGCCACCTCACCATGCTCTCTAACCTCCAGTTCTTCCCCTCACTCAGAGGAGGATATCTAGCTTCCACCAGGTGCTCCAAGGTCCAGGAATAACCCAGAACACTTCTTCCCTCAGCCCCCAAACCTACCAATGTCCAGCCCCCAACTCTCTCCCACTCCCCACATGGCAGATTCACCCCCATGCCTCTTTGCTTTGGGTCGCATCATCTGTCCAACTGGTATTTTTGTCAGCCACTAAGGTGTCTGGTAGTTCCAGGCTTTTGTAGAACTGGACAGAGACAACAAAGGAATATAAGTTTCATTTGTTTATCAGTAAAAGAAAGAAAGAAGTACAAAGAGCGAGAAAAATAGAAATAGAATTGAAAAGAATAAGAGAAAAAACATACCCCATATACAGGACAGGTCACTGGAAGAGTAAGAAGACAGTTACCCTGAGGCCCTCAGCTATCATCCTCCTTCGGACGCCAGATCTGGGCCATCGGGAGTTCTCTGTGCCTGCATCTCAGCCGTGACTTGATGGTGTTCTGTGATTGACAGGCCACACCCAGTTGTCTAGGCTCTGTGCTGTGCCCTAATCTCCTGTCTCAGGATGACTTTCTTCCTGTAAGGGAGATGTGGGAAATCCCCTTAGATCTTGGCATGGATGCCACTGGTCCTGTAATACTGGCTGATCACCCCAGTGGCAGCTGACTGTGTCCTCCTCAGAGCACCCCTGGGTGGTTTCCTTGGTTTGACCCAAAATACAGTTAGGGGTTGCAGACTTTCTCATTTTTCATCCAGTAATGGCCTCTTGGAGATTCCAATGTCCCCATGCTTGGGGCCACTGGTGACACCAGATGATGATAAGTTAAACAGATTGTCTCCTGAATCTAGAAATATCCCTGGACTCAGGATACATTAGACCCTAGAGTATTCACATGAATCTGTTTCTGCTGAGATTCTCTTATGTGTGGGGGAGACTGTTCCCAGAGAGACTGACCATCTGATTAGTTTGGAAACCACTGATGAGCAAGGTCTGTAGCTTATTCCTCTGGGTTCCTCTTGACTGGCACAGTCCCCTGGCCCCAGTGGTAAAGGAAGGGGAAGTACTGAAGTGCCGGTGAGATGTGAGGTGCCCTGCTTCATCCTGGACACTGCAGGTCACTGCTGGTCCCCACACTTCAATTCTGACAAACTTCATTGGCTCATGTGCTCTCAGGCTCCTAGAATCTGTTCAATGGAGGTACAGTCAATAGGACATCAGAAATGAAGTCTCCCACTTGACATCTCTTATCCCAAGTCTCATTCTATTCAAGCTGGAAGTGCCTGGCCTGCAGTAGGCATCTAATAAGCATTAGCTGTTTCTGTTGTTGAGCACTTAGTAAACGGAAGTTGTTTCAGTTGCTGGGTTCTTTGGTAAACCATTAAGTACAGCATTAGATGGCCACAGCTGTCCCCATCTTATGCTGTGGCTTCACCTTACCTCCTGGACCAAACACCATTCATGCAGATATGGTGAGCCTCTGTCCTCCGACTACCATTGTCCCTCTGCATTGTCACACTTCGATTGCTGCACAAAACTGATACGGTTTTCCACCTTTTCCCTGGCTTCCCTGCCATGTTTTTATCATAACAGCCCAAGAGAGTGGCCGAAAGGCCAGATCAGCTGCCGCTTCGTGTGCTGAGAACCCTCCAGGGCTCCCACCCTATCCCCCTAGAATAAAGCCAAGTGGCCCCAGGACTCCTGTCTCTCTCTCTCTCTCTCCATGAACCTCCTGTTCTGGATTTCCTTGGTTCCAACTCTGTCTCCTTTGTATGTTGGTTCATGTGCTCTCTGTCCACCCTAGGAGGCTGGAACTCAGGCAGGTGGAGCCCATCATGCAGTTCCTGGAGCCCCCCCACCCCGGTGGAGTCTAGTCACATGTCTGCATCACAGGGGCTCCCCAAAGGAGAGGAGGTTCTGGCCCACAGTGGATCCCCCAAGATAAGTGGCAGGAAAAAAAAACCCACTGATTGTCCCTGGAGATCTGGCAACTTGGCAGTTGTTTGGAGTCGCCAAGGCTGCCCGGCAGATGGGCTGACCATTCAGGGTTCCAGAACACCTGTGGCATGAGGCAGAATCTGGTCTCCACCCAAAGCCACCTGCTTAGTGTCCCCCACCTTTTCTATTTTGCTTCCTCTGATCCTCTTTCTCCCAATAAGTCACTGGAGCAAGAATCCAGTCTTGGGGTCACTTTTAAGGCAGAAAGATATTCATGTGCCAAGAATGAAGTTTAGCAAGGTGGCAGAGAAAGCGCCAGTGAATCAAGTCTAGTCGATCCTCTGGACGGGTGGGTCCCTGCCGTGACTTATATCTAGATGTCCCCCCAAAGCCCCATGTGCTTTTGGGGAGGCGACTGGCTCATGGGAACACGATACTCATCAGTGGATTAGTGTGTTACTGGGGCTGAGAGAGCTGTGTGTGACACTGGGAGGTGAAGCCTTCTTGGAGGAGGTGGTCACTGCAGGGTGGCCTGGAAGGGTCCACCTGCATCCCTCTTCTCTTAATCCACTCTGCTTCCTGCTGCCATGCCATGAGCAGATTCTCCTCTGCAATTCCCTCTGCCATGGAGCCAGCTGACTATGGACTGAAATTTCTACAAGCTGTGAACCAAAATAACCTTCTTTTTCTTTAAATGGTGGTTGCAGGTATTTTTCTCCAGAAGCAAAAAAAGTAACTGAAACAGTCGAACATCTGTGAATTCTACCAACCAGGGATTGAAATATTGGTGGGGGAGGTACACCACTTGCCTGGAACATGTACAGATAGTTTTCTTGTCATTATCCCCTATGACAGCTCTTTGTACCAACCTATGCATTGTATTCTGTATTATAAGTAATCCAGAAGTGATTCAGAGCACAAAGGAGTGTGAACAAAAGTTCCATGAAAATTCTATCCCATTCATAGTAGGGACTTGGTATTCCCTGGTTTTTGGGGTCCATGGGAAGGCAGGGGAGTCCTGAAAACATAGACACTGAGGGTGCTAATGTTGTGGGTCAGTGTGGAGAGGATGAGGGAGTCAGGAAGTGACAGGAGGAGTGAGGGTCACGACAATGGGCGATGCACATCAGGAAACATGGGGCTTTGCTGAGGAGGGGACAGTTTGAGGCACACAGAGCCATGACAACAGTAACCTTACAGATTAACCCAGCTTTATAGCCTCCGAGACTGCAGAGGAACCACAGCCAGATTTGATCAGAGTTCATGCCGGTCCAGTTTAGCAGGGGAAGGTGTGGGCAGGGGGCAAGGAAGGACAGGGGATGGGATGGAATGCAGGACCATTCAGTAGAAAGTCCGCGGTCCTGGATAATGGCAGTGAATCTTGGTGATTTGGTGCTGGGGCTCCAACTCATACTGACAGGTTCCTCTGGGCTTCAGGCTCATAAAAGGGATGTCTCCCAGCATGAATGAGAAAAACAGTTTTCACGGGACTTCTCTAAATTTGGAGAAAATCACAATGATTTCTATATGCAAAGCCTAGAGGTCAACCAGAGTCTCCCTGACCTTTGTGGACTTGGACAAAATTCACCCAGATCCCCTATGTCCAGGTTCTGAGCCTCCAGAGGGTCCCTCTCCTTCCCACCCAAACTCTTGCCCCCCAAAATGATTTCCATGACTTCT